GAGCAAGACTCCATCAAAAAAAAAAAAAGTCTTACCATGAAGGAAGGGTGTAAATAAAATTCTGAAAAAATCATTTAAATATCCCTCACAGTGATAGAAGCACACTGGTTGTGGTAGACTTCTTGGAGGAACAAACTAAAGTTTCCCTTGTGGATTAAAAGTTTCTCCCACCACCGTGGATAATGAGATACCAGAGACGAGAAAAATCGCCAGAATTTGCCATTTTGTTTTCCACTGACTGGAACAAAGACAATAGAAGGTTGGAAAAAATAACCACCTAAAGCTAGTATTTCTAAAAAGAAAGAGTGATTTTGAGACCAGAATAATACAGAGTGGTTGCAGGAGAACAGAAAATTCCAGGCAGCAGTTTCACATGACTAGAAAAAGAAAACTATTGAAATAGCTGCAGAAGGTAGGGGCTAATAAATCCCTGAAAAACAGGATGTGAGCCAAGCTGGCTAAGACTTATTGGACCCAACATGGTACTGGATTTGACCTAGGCTTCACCTGGGACCTCATTATATGCTCTTTAACATACTCAATCACACACGTATCAGCACCATGACATTTCCAGGAACACTCATATTTGGTGTAAAAATGAGTGGCACTACAGTTCATAGAAATCTCCACTTTTTCCCCAAGAGTTTTCATGAATACTCCACCTCTTTGTTAGAGAAACCCATAAAGGTAGAAGTCTCAAATCCCTCGTGTACGGCACTTGACTATGCCTGCTCTCCCCTTTCTCAAGTGTGTATTTTTCATTGTGCAGTAAATCTCCATTCTTTCAGTGTTTTCTGGCCCATCCTTGAATTCCTTCTCTTGATGGTGTAAAGAGCCTGTACACTGCCTGGGGTTGAGCTGCCGCTAGTGTTCAGGAGCCTCCCCCAGCCCGCTGGCATTAATTTACCAAAACTGAAAGAGAAAACTTAGGCAGGAACTTGATTTTGCCTTTTGTGGGGTGAGTGACCCACAAGAGATATGTGTGGGGAGCTCCAGATCACCCCCTTCTACTGCAATGTATAGTGCTATGACCAACACTACACCAGTCAGGGAGCTATCAAGAAACAGAGGGAATGGCGAGGCTTGAATAAAAGACAGGTTTACAATGGTATGGCCAGAGCTAAGATGAACCAACAAGAGATAGGAAAGTGCCCTGAGGCCAGTAAAAAGAGAGCCCACCAGCCCTAGGCCTTAGGGCAAAGGGGAGGAACAGCTACCAGAACCCAAAGGGACCAACAGCTACAGCAGATAGCTGCCCAATAGTGGTGGGAGGCTGCCAGCCCTCATGATCTGGAAAGTTGGGACTCAACTGGACAAATCCTCACCTCACTCTGCTTTATCCTCTAATGTCCCATTAGTGCCTGCCATTGACCTAATCCAGCAAGGAACTAGAGGGAAGCATTGCTCAATGGTATAGTCCAAAAGGTTAGTCTCTAGGTGATACAGCAGGGTAGAGAGGGAATCCAGACAGGCAAGCGTAAAATACTCTACCCAGAAGCCTTCCAATTTTCTCACCAAATGAGTGGGAGACTAGAAGAAGAGGTAGACAGGGACAAAAAGCAGATAAAACTAAGAGTAACTCGTCTAGAGCAGATTATCACTGATGAAAGTGAAGGCTCAGTAGTTCTGAGTCAAAAAAATAATCAAAAACCCTGAGCATCACCCCCAAGGATGGGATATGCAGCGCCAGAAAAACTGAATTCCAGAACAGAACTTTAATAAAATAACACAACAAAGACACAGCCCACCAATCATGGCTATAAAGAGTACTCTCACCCCCATCCCCAGCAATATGAAATGTGGAGCACCAACTATCTAACTGAAGCTATAAACAGAGGAAGTAAGCAGATAAAGAGGAAGTAGAAAAAGGAAAATTCAGTCGCCCTGATTTGGTCAGCACAGTGGGGAATAGAGCTGGTTCTGTCTAAGATTAATAAAATAAAAATAATCACAATAGGAAAGCTATGCACAATTATGACAAAGGAAAAGAAATGAAACAATGAGAGAGAAGAATCAAGGGAACAGAGGAAAAAATGAACAGTCTACCCTGGAAGAAAAAAATATTGTGGCAAACAAAAGGAAACAAAATAAACAAATGAAAATGTTTCAACTCTTAAATACATAAAGAGAATATGGAAAGCATGAACTATGTGATACATATATCAAATATAATGGAATAAAAAGGGCTATATCAGAGCTAAAGAAATTCTACATGTCCAACCAAAGGTAAAACTCTGCTCAAAGGAAAACTTACTCTCCTAATTGCTTAAGACACAAGAAAAAATAAAAGAAGTGTATCAGTCTACTCAAAAATACGTAAAATGACCAACAAAAATGAAATGAGGCCAGCAGAAGCAAAATAATTCATGTAAGAACAAAAAGCAATAAGTAAGAGAGTAAAGCAATAGTCTTGGTAAGTAAATCTGCAATGCTGCTTTCACAAGGTGTTTCGTTGTGTCTCCTGGCAACCAAAATACCCTCTCTTCTTAAGAGCAATCATTCAGGGACATGAGCTGGAATCACCTTTGTAACATCTGAGCCTAGAACAAGAAATGTGTTAAATAATCATGTGAAAGAGCCCTAGAACTCCAGCTTACCAGGAGAAACCCTCCCTAGCTTCTTGGATGAATCTTTGTCCTGTAAATGAAACTGGGGCCACTGAGAAGGCACAGAGTTAGAAAGTCAGTGAACCACAATGCCCACTGAGGCATCTTTACATGAAAAGTGTCCAGTGAAGATCTACTGATTTAATCCCATTTAAATGTGTGGACCTCCTCTTTCCTGCCATCTCCATTTCTCCCAGTGCTCCCTCCAGTGTTTTGGTCTCCCCGGGGGCAGGGTATACCCAAGTTCAGGGGACTGTGAACTTGGATGGGAAAAATAATGTATTGTTATTCTCACTAACCTGTAACTGAACTTTACATTTCCACTGTGGGAGGCCGAGGCGGGTGGATCACGAGGTCAAGAGATCGAGACCATCCTGGTCAACATGGTGAAACCCCGTCTCTACTAAAAATACAAAAATTAGCTGGGCATGGTGGCGCACGCCTGTAGTCCCAGCTACTCGGGAGGCTGAGGCAGGAGAATTGCCTGAACCCAGGAGGTGGAGGTTGAGGTGAGCCGAGATCCTGCCATTGCACTCCAGCCTGGGTAACAAGAGCGAAACTCCGTCTCAAAAAAAAAAAAAGAAGCAGGCAACAAACCCCACCAGCATTAGCAGTCCCTGAGACTGTCACCAAGAGAAATCATAGATATTTTACATCTCACTGGAGTTTGGAGAGAGATCTCAAAATATCGTTCACATTCATTGCTACTTCAAAATCATGGTAGTTGTTAGCCCTGATGCTAAATCTTATTATGAAATACATTAAAGATTTAATATAAAGAAATGAAATATAAATATTTATATAATTACACCACAAACTTAAACTAATTTGACAATTGCATGTTAATATAATTGATTTCTTTTATATTCCTATGTACTTTATTGAATAAATTTGAAAGCATTATTTTGAGAAGAAGCTATAAACTTCACCAGATGCCAGAAGCTCCCAAGACACTCAAAAGTTAAGGACCTTTGCATTAGTTATTACAGGTGAATAGAACTTCTTGAAGAAGGAAAAATAAAGATGGGAGCGGTGTTATTCTCAGTTTTTAAGAACATCTAGTTAATTTAGATGATGATTTATCACTTAATGATTGGGCTTCAGGAGAGAGGTGTTTATTTGGTTTACTAGTAAGCCTAAAGAAGGCCTAAAACATCATAGGAGGGCTGCAGCACAGAGTGATGAGAAGCCTGAACTCTGGAGTTGAACCACCGGGCTTCAAATTTCAGTGCACCATTCACTACTTATGTGACCTTGAGCAACTTCTGTGAGTTAAGGCCGTTTCCTCATCTGTCGAGTGGGAGTGATGCTTGCCCCTGACTCAAAGGACTGTATGAGGACTGACCGAAACGATTCCTGTAACATTCTCAGCTCAGCCCAATACCTGGCAGATTCTCCTTGCTGTTAGCATTAAAGTCAGCCAAATTTGTTTCCAATAATCTTTCCCTCCATGTTTTTTTTTTCCTAATTATGAAATGCCTCCCTCAGCCCATCACATAGACCTGTTTCATACAGCCAGTGTCTCTCTGTCCTTGGCCTCAATCTCATCAAAACCCATTCTCAGATAAGGCTCTGGTATTCCTTTCTTATGACTCTGTGTGTTTTCCAATTTTTGAGATACCTCTCCCAAGAATGACAATTCCATCATTGTGCGAAAGGTCCTCGCCTCCAATGAACTGCAATTTCAGCCTCCAAAAGCAGATAAAAGAAGTGCTTCAGGCCGGGCGCAGTGGCTTACTCCTGTAATCCCAGCACTTTGGGAGTCCAAGGCTGTTGGATCACTTGAGGCCAGGAGTTTGAGACCAGCCTGGCCAACATGGTGGAACCCCGTCTCTACTAAAAATACAAAAATTAGTTGGGCATGGTGGCAGGCATCTGTAATCCCAGCTACTCCAGAGGCTGAGTCAGAAGGATCACTTGAAGAGTGATCACCTGGGAGGCGGAGGTTGCAGGGAGCAGAGATC